GTGTAGTTCACAAGCTCAGCCAGGAGGTGGCAGTCATAACCAATGAGAAAATCCTGACCCTCTGCCTCTAGCAGTTTTGCATTGCCCAGCGGATGCTTCCTGGACCTAATCTCATTCTTATGAACGCGATTTCCTTCTTACAAAAACACCAGGCCCAAACAGAAACTAACCTCATCCTGCAGATAAAGAATGTTTGTGCCTTACATGTTGTCAGACTCTCTTAGCTATAGCCAGACCTTCAGTATTTTCCCAGCAGCAAGACAAGAGGCAGCTGCACATCACGGGAAGCAGAGTGGGCACACGCCCCGCGCTGAAGCCCCACATCTTATCACATGGGCCTTCGTGGTGGGCGGAAGGTGTATGAAGGGGGAGGACTCAGCTGGGCTGCTAGACCGAGTCCAGCTCCGGGAAGGCTGAACAGCTGGAGGATTCTGCAGGAAATAACAAAGAAGCGGGGTAGCTGTTCTGTTGAGGTCACAGTGCTGTCCCCAAGCCCTGAGTCACTCAGACCAAGTGCTTTCCCACCAGCAATGCCCACGTGTCTTCCTCATGCCAACACGGGTCTGGCGAGCTTTCCTGAGAGGCGGTTCGTTGAGATGGAATTATTGCCACCTCTTAAGCTACAGAACTAGGATGGCTGCTCAGAGAGTAAAGGCTTCTGGAGGGTTGAGGAAGCCACTTAAAGAGTCCAGACCTGACCCCAAGGGCAGTGGGTGCCAGTCAAAGATTTTAAGCAGGGCAGTGAGAGGGTGGACAGAACAGAACGCAGAGGGGGCAAAGGAAAGGAGACAGAGGACGTTCTCTTCCTGTCCCTGAGTCTCAGCATCCAGCCACTTTCATCGTACTTCTCATAACATGTTGTGAAGAGTGACAACGTTCCTTAGGCTCCTTCCTCTACTGCATCTTCGCCAGGGCAATAGCCCCCCCATTTCCAGCGAGTCCCGGGTGAGACAAATGATGGCAGAGCAGCTCGTGGGCTGTGGCGTCGGAGGGAACCAGCTTCAGGATTTGGAGCAGTAACATAAGCTCTCAAACCTTATTTCCTTGTGCGTTAAGTAGGGGTGAAAGTACAGCAGCTCAGGGGCTGCGGTGAGGGTGGAGTGAGGCCAGACAGGGAAGTCCTTAGGACAGCGCTTGAACTAGAGAAAACGCTCGATAAACTGGTTACCATAGACGGAAACTCTACCTGGGAAGTGCTCATGAAGCCGGGCAAATCCACCAGCAGATGCTGAGCGAGCCCTGGGGCTCATCACACCCACGATTCTATAAAGACCCTGCGCGCGCGCACACACACACACACACAGGCATAAAGGGTTTCTCCCCCGTCCTACACACACCCACTGGGTCTGCTTAGAGCCACCCACTTCTTTGCTTCTGCCAAGGTGCCCTGGAGGTGTTCCCTTTTCCATCTGCTTGAAAATGCACCCAGAGGGCCCACCTGGGGTTCAGCCCTCTGGGATTCTGTACCCCTGGGATGGCCCTGACTCTGGCCCACCATCCAGGGCTTACCGGAGCCAGAGAAAGGTCACCGGCTGCTTTTGATAAGTAACTAGAAATGTCGGCCTCTACAGCATCAGACACCTTGAGACGACACCAAGGCTCTGCACGTGTTTGAACCGCAGGGAAGGGCAGGTGTCCTGTGAGGTTAGAAAGACGGGAAATCACAGGAGTCACGTGAGGAAAAGCCACGCCTAGAAACACCACGTTCACACCTGTCGGCCCCTGAGCCGGAGCCCGCGCCTGGGGAGCGAACCCGGCGCGCTGCCTACCCTGCCGCAGGGCCTGGCGGCTCCTCTCGCCCAGCATCCAGTGAGAACTTGCACTGCTTACCAGCTCAGCCTTCACCCAGATCGACTCCAAATGCCTTCCCATGCCAAACGGACGGGCAGCGAATGGGTCAGCCTTCCATGTCCAAGCTTCCAAAGCTCTGAAAAGGGGTCCCCCAGGAGGCAGGGGCAGCTGCTAGGACCAGACTCTTCTAATGTAACTGAAGTTGTGTAGCAAAACCTGTGAGGCCCAGCTTACAGCTTCCTATGCCCCAAATGTGGTTTTGAAAGTTGGTTTGGTATGTTTTCCCATCCAAACAAGGAGGCTTGGAGAGGGCATTTGTAGAACTCCCTAAAGGCAGTCAAACCCACTCCAGGCCTCATGCAGAGACTGGGAAGTCAGGGAAAGCCTGACAAGTTTTGGGGGACTGGACCAAGGTCAGAGCTGGAGGAGAATTGACAAGAAGCGACCCAGGGGAAGGTACACAGACACCCAGGGAGATGATGAAGGATTTTGGAAGCCACTTAGGAGTTTGGATTTACCTTGAGGGCAATGGGGCACCATCTAAAGGTTTTATACAGGGGAGACGCCGGACCACGAAGTGTGGAACCCTTCTCCCCTCAGGGGTTGGGACGGTGGGTGTGAACTCAGCAGGGAAGAGCATGCGCTTGTGAGGAAGGACCTGGCCTCTCCCCCGACGGTGGGCAGGGAAGGGGACCCTGAGGATCTCGGCTTTAGTATTGGGAGACAGAGCGGGGACGAGGGGGTGTTTGTTCAAAAGGCCAACAGGCCACCAAATCGGAGATCAGAGGGCTAGTTTTAGGTGGGGTGCAGGTGTGCATAAACTTGGGGGATGTCTGCACTCTGCTTTCTTGGAAATGCCATCTCCTCCCAGCCTGGAAGCTTCCATCAATCCAGACACAGCAACTGCGTGGCAGTGCCAGGACTGAAAGAGTGGTGCAAAGGGAAAGAAGTTTCTATTGTTTGTGAGGCATTTGCTATCTCTAAATGTGGGACAAAACCAAAGTCCACTGCCCTTCAAGATGGAATAGACTGATTTCTCTTCATGCACAGGGACTGCACGGAACTTGAGGCTTGTGGGAAGTCCTTTGAAGTTGAACTATTTTTATGATATCATAGTGTTTTTCTAAAAGGAAAGATAGTATAAATAAATACACAACCTGCAGCACCAATGATAAGGTTACATTTTTTCTTTAAATTAATTAATTAATTTATTTTTTGCTGCGTTGGGTCTTCGTTGCTGTGCACGGGCTTTCTCTAGTTGAGGAGAGCGGGGGCTACTCTTCATTATGGTGCGTGGGCTTTTCATTGCGGTGGCTTCTTTCATTGCAGAGCACAGGTTCTAGGCGCGCAGACTTCAGTAGTTGTGGCGCACGGGCTTAGTCGCTCTGCGGCATGAGGGATCTTCCTGGACCAGGGCTTGAACCCGTGTCCCCGGTATTGGCAGGCGGATTTTTAACCACTGCACCACCGGGGAAGTCCCAAGGTTACGTTTTTTTCTATTTAAATATATTAATAAATAAATCCAAGGGCACTCAAGGACACACATCCCTAACCACGGGTCAGTTAGTGCAGGAGCAGACTGGCCAGGCTTTTGAACTGAAACATTTTTATCAAAGCCACACCGACGTTGCACAAATGACCACTCGTTCTCCAAATTGCACGTTTTGTAATACAAGCATTTTAATTTTGCTTGATATGTATTTCCTTTATTTATAAATTTCACCTATTTATATATTTTTCATTTGTTTGTTTGTTTGTTTTAGACAAAAGCCAGGGTTAACAAAAGCTAACCAAAAATACACCCAGAAACATAGGCTTAAGTACCGGAAACTCCCCTCTCAAAAGCAAGAAAGTTTCTTAGCTAATTTGTGAAACCTTGGTAGGCTTCCATGAGATTTCGAAAATAGTTGCATGGCAAGATGGCTCACATATTTCTCCATGAATAGATTAGAAACAGATTGATGAGTATTGAAACAGAAAACATAAATACTACTGTATTTCATGTAATCTGAGGCTCCTTCGGTGTTATTTAATGAAACACCAAGCAAGGGAAATTGTTGCCATCTCACTGTATGTGTCACAGTGCTTTCTTAGCACTTAGAATTTTTATTTTAAACGTGTTAAAAGAACTCTTTTAGACCTGTTCGAACACAGAATGTATTATATCACGTATCACTCTTCTGCATACACAAAAAGGAAATAGAGGCTAAATACATTGGTTAAGGTATGCCTAAAACTCTTCCCCATGCAGAATCTACCTCTTTGGAATCACATTTGAGGCAGGACCTCTGGAATCCATGTTCTCCATCCACCACTGTCCTATGAGCCATCGAGGGCTTTCAGGAGAATTTTGGTAAGGCCGTATTTCTCCTAAAAGTGCTCCACAGTTGTCTTCAGAATTTTCCTCCAAACCTCTGACACCCATTCTCTAAGCTTTGATGCCCATACAGTACCAGCAACACTATGACACACAGCTGCCTACTTCACAGCTAGAATAAGAGATCTCAGAATGGCTAGAGCACGAGAAAGTGTTCCTCCTAAAATCAGTGAAATGGGTGCAATGGACTGAATGTCCCTCTAAAATTCATATGTAGAAATGCTAATCTCCAATGTGATGGTATTCAGAGGTGCAGCCTTTGGGGGGGTGATTGGGTCATGAGGGTGGAGCCCTCAGGATGGGATTAGTGCCCTCGTAAAAGGGACCCCAGAGAGCTGCCTCCTCTTTCTGCCCTGTAAGGACAAAATGAGTTGTGACCTGGAAGAGGGCCCTCACCCAACCCTGCTGGCACCTTGACTGCCATGTTTCAGTCTCCAGAATCGTGAGCAATAAATGTCTGATGTTTATAAGTCACGAAGTCTGTGGCACACTGTTATAGCAACGGGAACTAAGACACACGATCACTTGAATTTAACATGCGCTTTTACTGTCTCCCATCTCCACTTCCCCCCACTCAGATACAGGAGTGTGTGTGTGTGTGTGCGTGAGTGTGCACACATGTGCATACCTAAAGATAACTTTGGGAGAAGGAGGAAAATCTGGCATCCGTGATAAAAAGTAGGAAAGACCACATTTGAAAAATGCACGACAAACCCATGGTTTCGGACGATCACAGCTGTCAACCATCCAGTATACCCGAGGCTAGTCCACAGCGTGACTCAGACCTACGGGAAGCTAGACCTCGTGCATTAGGAAGCCGGGGGATACTCACCAGACAGAACAGCACAGGCTTTGGGGGCAGCCCCTGCAGGGAGTGGATGGTGGTTTTCTCTTTTAAGTTGCCCAGTGGCGCTCCCATGACCATGCTCCCTGAGTTCCAGGTTACTCAGCTGCGAAAAAGGACAATTATGGTGCATGTCTCACAGGGGGTGGTAAAGAATAAATAAAGCCACCTATGGAAATGCCATGAATAAAGGCCAAATACTTTTTGGTTGCCCCCGCCCCATTTATCCCGCCCTCAATATACAGCCCCAAGCTTTACCCCAAAGACTGAAAATAAATCAGAACCGAAAACAGAAAAACCAGAAAAAAACCAGAGAAACAAAATTAAAGCGTGTTTTTGTCTGTATTTTATGGATTCCTGAGAGGAGACAATTTCTCCTGAAAACATATCTTTGTGCAACAACATATAAACATAACAGCTAAAGACTGGGGGCATTTTTCTGGCATTCTACTACAGGGTTTTTTTAATACAATTTTTAAAGCTTACACTCAATTCACAGTTACTACAAAATATTGGCTCTATTCCCCATGTTGTACAGTACATCTTTGCGCCCTGTCTTACACCCAATTGTTTGTACCTCCCATCCCCCCACCCCTATATTTCCCCTCCCCCCCCCCACTGCTAACCTCTAGTTTGTTCTCTGTATCTGTAAGGCTGCTTCTTTTTTGTTCTATTCACTATCTTTTTAAGAATAGTATGTTTGCGTGACTCAGATCTGTAGAGAGATGAGTTCTGCTCTGTCCTTGGTATCCATGAATGCAGTCAGACTCTTCCAGGCAGTGGCAAGTTCAGCCATGGGCAGATGGTCAGCGATGACGCAGCAGATCCCGAGCCTGGCTGCTCAGAATGGCTCACCCCTCCCTTTCCTAGGTATACCTCCTGCAGCATCCTCCCGGGCCACACCAGGTGAAAGGCCCCAGCACAGGACAAGCAAATATAAACCTCTGCCTTCCAGGAAGCCCACAAACCTCCTTCCCTGGGGTTGGTTCCAGTCAAAGGTTGGGCTTGATTCCAGTCAAAGGTTGGGCTTGGCTGCAGTGGGCAGGAAGCCCAAAACGTAACCCAAAACTCAACAACGACTTTCTTTTATGGCTCTGGGAGATCAATGAATCACTTTGCCTTGGTTTCCCATCTCTATAATGAGAAGAATAGCCTCGTCTCCTCTGTAAGTGTGTTCGGAGGACTAAGAATTTGTGAAACGTGACTGCTTTGTACCCTCTAACGAGTGGAACACAGAGGTATTGCTAAATACGACTAAGGCATGATTATGGCTGAACTTCCAGCCTGACCATTCAGTAAACCATATTCCATATTCCCCTATGTATACATACTGAGAGAGAAAGAGAGAGAGAGAGAATAACCCTCTCTCTCATTCACTCCTTCCTGTTCTTGGTGTGTGTCGTTTATTTCCCCTCTGCTTCTAGAAACAGCACTCCTTTTCATTGGGCATCTGCACTCTCCCCACCATAACCACAGCACCCCATCCCGTCTCATTCCTATTTGAGAGCCCCCAGGCCTCAGGTCTGGCTAGTTAGAAGACTCCATCTTCATTAGCCCTGGTTTCCCTGAAAGCAGAGTACCTCACGTAGCAGTTTATTTGGGAAGAAGGTCCAGGGAGCAGGAGTGAGGCAAGGAGGAAAAGTCACCACAAAGATGTGCTACTGGCCATCAAGGCAGCTGCCTGGAGAGAGATCTTGCGAGGCTCTTGGAGAAACCCATACAGGGCATCTCAGAACCATCCGCCTGATGGACGAAGGACAGGAGCGTTTCTCCGGTGGTCCCTGCCCCAGCCTCACTGGCCCTTATTTACAGGTTGATCCTGTGAGAGTGCTGGGAGGGGGCCCTGCAGGCGTCCCTCACCAGGGCTTAGGGGAACCACGGTGGGAGCTGGAAACATCCCAAGCTGAGATGGGACACGTGAGCCCCGAAGAATCCTGACCGACGGAGTGTGGACGCAGCGCCTAAACAGCCCTGCAGAGCAGGGAACATCGTGACAGGAGGGATCACCTTGCTGGACAGGACCACCTTGCAACTCACAACAGTCAAGCAGGAGCCCCTTGAACTTGTCGTGTACTTGGAGACCAAGCGCTTAAGCCTCTGATGATTGTGGTGAATTTTCTATGAACATATTTAGACAACCAGGAAATCGCAACAAAATCTTATTTTAGTAGATACAGAACTTATAACAGACATCATCTATCTACCTACCTACCTATATTGATCTATCTCTATCTATCATCTGTATTTACCTCTATCTATCTCTATCTCTATCTATTTTATCTGTATATGTATCTATCATCTATATACCTCTATCTATCTCTAGCTCTATGTATCTATCTATTTTATCTATCTCTCTATCTATCATCTATCCTACAGAGGGAACTGTCAGGAGGGAGCTTGGTGATCTAAATTTTCTAACGAATCACAATCCTCAGGGTCTCATCTCCTTGTACAGTCTCAACTGTCACCTCTAAGCATGCGATGCTTGCTCCACATCTTTGGGGCAAACCCCTGTCCTGAAGGTTCCTCCTGCACTTGCAGTGGCATTCTGGTTGCTCCTGCGGGTACTTTCAGCTCTCCACGTCTAAAACAAATCTCCACGACCACACGAAACCTCTTCTTCCTCCCAACCTCCCTGCCACCTTCCAGAACCCCCCGCCTGGCCTCCAGAGGAGCTGTCCCCCGCTTCCCTGTCTCCTCATCCAATCAGCAGCAGAAGTGACCTCTGTCTGTCTGCTCTGTTGCCTTCCTGCTGCCTGCACCACCATCCAGGCCTCGCTTCCTTTGCGGGAGAGGCTCCAACAGCCGCCCCTGCACCCTCCACCCCCGGGCTCCCCTGCCCTAGTCCCGCCGGCACACAGCACCCCTGGCCACTCGGCTCCCATGGCTCTCACTGTCCGCTAAACGCAGATTTCCCGTCCTGCGACGTAGAGTTCTCTCTAATTCACGTAGCCAAGCAGCCACCCCTGCCGGTTCCACCAAAGCACCGCTTTAAGAAATCCTTCCCAGGTGGCTTCATCAGTAACACTGACAGAAATGGCTGGCCCAGCAGGAATGGAGCTGTGTTTCTTCCCTGGCATTTGCTTTCCTCTCCTCTCCTTCCTTCCTTTCCCCTCCCAACACACACAGAAAACAATTACACCTTTAAATACAAAAGGACACTTCTCTGAAATAGTCAGCAAACATCAAGGATGTGCAGATGTCACACCAAGAGCAAGGGGGGGAAGAAGCATAAGGAAAATATAGAAATCCCAAATTTTAACCAATAGTCACCATGACCTCTTACAGCCTTCACTAAGAGACGCATTTGTGACCCAGATCCTTCCAGAAGGATGAATCAAGGCTAGAACCAGAGATTTCCCGGAGGCTGTCCAAAGGCAAGTGGGAGCCTCTTTCAAGGCCTGGAGACAGAAGTCTATATGCCTGAAAATCATGAGAATCCTTTTTCCTTGACACCAAGGAGTTAACTAGGAAACTGTACATGCAAACAGCTATGAGGGGAAGGAGGAAGGGAAGAGAATGTGGCCCATTTCCTCACTCGGGCAAAAAGAAAATATGTTTAAATAGAACAATGAGAAGATGGTGTCATGATGAGATACTGCATAGTGTGTCAGCTGGTGAGCTGTTCATACACAGCCGGGCCTGGAGCTTGGCCGACCACGGAGACACTTCCTGCCTCCTTGCGATGACCCCTGCAGGAAACTGCTGAAAACATTGTGTGTATGTGTGCGTGTTTGTGTGAGTGTGTATGTGTGCATGTGTGTACGCAAGTGTGTGCGCGCCTGTGTGTGAGCATTTGAGTGTACATGTTTGTGTACTTTGCACGTCTGCATGTGTAATTGTGTGGGTTTGTGTACATGTGAGTCATGTGTGTGTTTTTGCACGTGTGCATGTGTGGTTTGTTGCATGTGTGTGCATGTGTGATTTGTCTGCATGTGTGTGTGAGTGCATGGTGTGCACATGAGTGTCTCAGAAGAGGCCAGCACAGGCTGCTTTGAGGAACATCCATTCCCATTCCACCCAGAGCTGCCCAAGGCCAGTCTGATTAGTGGGGAGAGTGAAAGAGAAAAGAGCAGACAGATGAAAAATTGTTCCTCTCCCTTCATGTTCACTGTACTCCTAAATGCAGGAGCTTTTGGGGTGGAAGACAATAACCCAGTACGTCTTAACCTGTATTCGGTGGACACGGACCTGTGACCCTCCCTGTGGGACCCTCAGAGAAGCACACACCTTCCCCCCCCCCCTCCCCCAGCAGAGAAATAGACCCTTCCCGGCCCCCCCCCGACTTCCACGTGCACCCAAGCTCCTCTCTCCTCTCTTCACCACAGTAGCCCCCACCCCCAACTTCCTTAAATCAAAAATTGACAAATAACCCAAGGAAATGAGTACCCTCCCAATGAACTGAAGTTTTGCTCTGTGCTGTTTGGATAATACCATCCTAACAGAATACCTGGAAGTTACAGAACAGACTCATTAAACACAGCTACCAGTTCATAAGCCCTTGAAATGCCTTGGGGGTCCCAACGAAGACTCTTCCAGGGACAGAGGGCCGGGTGGTGCCTAGGTCCGGCTTAGGAATTAGATTTCATTTCAGAGACCGCTTGCTACACTGTACTGAGACTGTTTCAGCGGCTGAATCAGGCCGCCCTGGGGAAAAAAATAATTTTTTTGTGAATTTGTGCCACTTGCCTTGGGCATGGGAAAGGGAGTGGCACCGGCTTGCTATCCTCAATGGGCTACGTTCTCGGGCTTTGTCTTATCTGATCCACACAGCTCCTTGTACAATAAGTACCACCCTCATTTCATAAACAAGGCATCAGAGGGTTTCGCACTCAGAAGGGAGGGATCCTTGTGTCCGGGAGACGCGGTTTGGCCTTAGGACTCCCCATAGGCCTGGCTGAAACTTTCTTAGACCTGCACCAGTGCCCTTCTCCTTCCACCGGGGCTACACCTGCATCTCAACCCAGGGTTCTCCCAGCCTCTGTCACAGGAGCCTGGGGCCCCTCGGGAGCACCCCACCTCTTCTCTCTGCTCCTAGGTGATAAAGGCTGTCGAGTCCAGCATAACCTGTTGGGCATGTGCTGTGCTGATGAAGAAGGAAAGAAA